TGCGGTGGCGGAGACGGCGGCGGCGGTGGTGAGGGCGGTGGTGGTCGTGGCGGCGGTGGCGGCGGGCTCGGCCCCGGCGGCGGCGGCGATGGCGGGGGTGACGGTGGAGGACTCGGTGGGTTGGGCACCGGCGGCGGCGGTGGATAGCAATCAAAGAGATCGGGGTTCGACCAACTGTCATACCGTACGTATACGCCGCAGGAGCCACCCTCCAGCTGGAAGACGGAGTTGCACTGCATGCCGCCAAGTGCCCGAATGGTGGCCCCGACAACAACCTTCTGGCCGAAGTTGGTGGCGACGAGGCGCCCGTCGTCACGACTCGCTGCGGTACCCACAACGATCATTTGCCCGTTCGTCGAGCCGTCGTCGATACATCGAAAAGGACGATCTGGCAAAAGTTGGGCGTTAAATGCGTAGAAGCTGGTCATTGCATTAACTAGCTGGGTGCAGGTCGTTTGGGAGGTCCAGTTAGCGGACCTTATGGCTTTGGTGATGAGGATACAGGGCCCCAAACCAGGGGGAAATGGCGGCCGCGGGGGTCGCGGTGGGGTTGGCGGGCTGGGTGGTGACGGTGGCGGGGGTGACGGCAGCTGCGGTGGTGATGGCGGCGGGCTGGCACCCGGCGGCCCCGGCGGCGACGGCGGCGGCGGCGGCGGACTACAGAGCTGTTGCGACAGGAAGTACGTGCACCTGGTGCCGGCGGTTGGCGGAAGAATGGTGGAGGTGGGGTTGTTGGTGCAGACTGTGATGTTCTGAGTTAGCCCCGCTACAACGGCTGGGTCCGTGTAAAAGGCCTCTGCACCGCAGCCAGCAAGTACCAACTGGAACAGCGCCAGCCACAACGTGTCATCCCGCAATGCGTTGGCGAAACTGATGAGGTTTTCCTGCGGGGTGGGTGGCGGGTGGGTGTGGGGAAAGGAAACCACAACCATTCCAAACCGCAGGATCCGAAGACCATCCCGCCAAGGGGTGGGCAGGGAGGAGGAAATGACCCTCGTTCCCGGGCGTCTGATACGGTGTGTATGTGTATGTATGTAGGAGTGTGTTGGAGAGAGTGTTTGTGTGTGTTCCGGCCCGATCTGGTGGTGTTGGTGGTGCTCGTGAGGTGCCCGCCCTCTGCCCTTCTGCCCCCCGCTTGCTCTCTACTCTGGCTGCTCGCTGCAATCTCCCACACCCCCCAACCCCATTCCGGCAGTGTCCCGCTGGACTCCCGCTTCCATCCGCAACCCCGGACGGGGAGAGGGGGACATGAACACTGCAACCAGCGGCGCCTCTGCCATGCTCTGAGCCCCTTTTCGCTACGTGCATGTTCTGTGTACGTGTGTGGTGGTGGTGTGGTGTGGGCGTGTGTGGGTGTGCGTGCGACATTCGTGGCCGTGCAGAGGTGTTCCCACAAGCGCTGATAGATCAAGTGATAATAAAGCCCGTAGTGTCCCAACCGCCTCCGTGACGGCAACAGCAATCCCTTGACCCCATCTCCGGGGCCCCAGCCGGGGAGCCCTTATGGTTTCTTGGGTTTCGGTCCGGTGCCCTTAAAACATCCCGTCTTTCACACACAAACACACGCACATACATACATACACACATACATACACATACATACACATACATACACACAGGCACAGGCATACGACACGCACGCGGAGACATACGCAGACACACACTGCTGCCCAGGCGTAAACCGCTGCAATCGGTAATTAAAATCCACTCTGCTACCCCGTATTCTGTATTTGCGGAGTATCGCGCCCCCGGGGAATGGAGTTAGTATGCGTAAATACAAACGTAACAACGACTGCGAAAATGGAGTGGCCCTGCTCGGATGCGCGCAGCGGGTACTACAGCTCATCCTGACACAGCTAGTCCAGAACACCATAATGAAATCTCACCAGTGAAGTTAAGCTGTCAAAAAGGGATCTGTACGTAAGGATAGATTTGACGCGACCCGTGGAGTTCGTGATGCTGCAGTTGGTTCGGTAAATATTCTTGTTGAAGAAGTTGATCGGGACATAATTTAGAGACGGTGGCAAGTATGAGTCTAGTAAATCACAAGAGCTGGGGTCAAAAGGCCCATTGACCGAGTAGAAAGTTATCGATGCAACGAGCTCGGCTTGCGTCATCAGCGGCGCAGTGAGCGCAGATATGGCCAAGATCGCGCCAAGATGCCTGAATTTTCTGAGTGCTGTCATGTTCCTCGGACTGCGACGCTGGACTTCCTCGGCTTGCGGCGCAGTTCCTGTAATGCCCACTTCAACGAAGCGCATAGATCGCGCGAAGATGCAGCTGGGCAGCATTCGAGCGGCTCGCAGTGCGCCTGCAAATAAAATTAGAACGTCTTACAAAATGTGACAAGTACGTAAGGTAATGGCTGGCGCGGACGGCTTTTAATCTATGATAACAGCAGCCGCAAATGTAAAACACGAGCAATAAAATATGCATCTCCTTGTAACTCACCTATCCTGGCACCCGGTGCCGTCAGTCCTGGGAGTAGCGGTGGAGCCAAGCAGAGTCAATACGCACCCAAATGTGGACCCAGGAAACACCGAGGGGTAATTATTGTAAAACTTTTATTAATGTATGTCATTGAAAACTCCTAATGTCTAAAAATTATTATCCACGAACGCTTCAAGGCTACAGATACGGTTTTGCAGTCGATTACCAAGGTCAACTAAACGCATGCTAGCTAGACCCAGGCAACATTTAAAAAAGTTTAGCCTGAAAGTGACAGGTGAACGCATTGTGCCTATGCTAGTGCCTCAGTAGCGAAGTTGTCGTACACGGCTGGTAACTTTATTGACACCATAATAATTCAGACATCGCTAACATTTTATTCATACAGTCTCACAATCCTTTACGCTTATAAGTAACAAATCCTGTTTGCGCTGCTTTGCTTGCAACACATCATGTGCCATATCGGTACGTGCAAGCAACGTCTCCATGACGGGTGTATGAGTTGCAGGTGTCAATTCATTCAGATCAAAGCATAGGCTATTTACTGAGGCTGAGGTCTTCCCAACATATGGAGGGGTGTGTGAACACCCTACTACCGTTCTGGTTGAGTAGACAGCTGCACCGGCCGCGCACATTCTTCAATATCTCCTTTATAAGCTTATCGCAAATCATTTGCATCATAAAGGGTTTCCGCGTGGTGGCCCGCTATGCATTCTTGTCTACATATGAACCCGTTCCAGAAGTCCGGGATGCCTTGGCATTTTGGGGGGCAGGGCACGTAGTCACATGTTCAGTTGCAACTTCATTGCATCAGAGGTTTGATACCTTCAAATCGTTCAGCAAGCAACGCCAAGCACGTCGGCAGCGTTCAGCTCACTTCAAATCGCCTGGACCAGCGGCGAGATTATCAGTATGTGTGTACTAGGTCAAACGAGTACGTTGTCGTGCGCGGTACGGGGGAAGGTAATTAGGGGAAGGGGCTCCTTTTAGGGCTGTGTGGATTTCCAGAGGGGCCTTCCAGGCGGGGTTCGGTTCCGTGGATTGTACTGGAGAAGTTGTGCCGCTGCCTGCTGAACTGGCCTTCGCAGGACCACGTCATGAGTCATAGGCCTGCATGCAGGGGGATGCAAGCCTCCATGTAATTGCGCCTGCTGTTCGCGAAATACGTTCGCGACATCGCAAGGAGGGAAACCTTTGCCAGCTCAGTGTATGACATTAATAAGCTTTCACACAGGAAAGAACGCCAGTTTCCCTTCAGATGGCTGCAGTTATGTCCTAGATAGCAGCCCAGGGCTAGCGACGGCACGCGAGGCCTAGCAAACTGCTCCTGTAGCTTTACAATAGTCTAGACCAAATCGATTATTTATGTCGTTAAATTATCACAATGACTTCGGAAACTAGCAGTTGGGCCTGGTCGAAGCTCGCCCCGTACCAAGGCAAGTCATTTACATAGACGGCGGGCGCCGTGAAAGCAACGAATTCCGCATCGATAGCAGTGTGCTTATTTCTGAAGCCATGCATTTTTATCAGGTAAGTAAACAAAACCATTACATTTGATTGTACAATTTAAATGTTTGCCGCCTAACTAGTTGTGCAATGTCAACTTAGCAGGCCATCTTCGATGGTAACGAGGGGAGAAAACAACACGGCAGTAATCGCTCGTGTCTGGTGCTCATGAGGCTTATAGCATGCCGTTCTCGGGCCTCATGCATAATCCCAAAGCGGAGAAGGTGCTGTTCACGGATGACCGGCCCTATTTTGACGAAAGGCCGCGTCATAAAACTGCAGGAATACGGCCCGCCTACAGGCCCGAATGCACTGCAATTTCGCAATATTATATTAGAACTAAAAACCTTCCAAAACCATGCTAACAGATTTCCAAAATACTACACCATCAAGGAAATCGCCTCCTGCTAGTAAGTGGCAATATAAGGCAAATAGGGCCGGTCATCCGTGAACAGACTCTGAACTTAAGTGTGTGTGTGGTTGTTACATGTTACTTAAGTGATGTGGCGGCAGAATGTTCTCATGCGTGTTCGTAAATGTATCTTATTGTGGGCCATACTGCTGCTTTCATATCGAATGTCCGTGTTATGGGGACCTCCTCTCTGGAGTTATGAGGGGATTCTTACATTTGAATAACGAGGCGAACAGGAACATGTAAGAGCAATTTTGAGAGTAAATTTGCCGTTATTTTCCCTTACGAAGTGGCGCAACTTCGTGTGCCTTCGGCTGTAACCTGACCACGTCAGCCAGTTTCGATCTACTCACTGGGAGAACGAAAGCCGACGAAAGCTACCCAAACTCTGGCTTGTACTGGTGCAATTCCGTCTGGTTGGCATAGGGCCCTCCGTATTTCTGTATTGAGGCCGCAGTGAAGCCAATATAGCCTCTGAAACAATGAAAGCTGGAAATTTTCTCAGAATTGTGCATACTGGCTTCGGGATGCGGTACGGCATGATGCGGCCGGCCGTCTTCCCGGCCAGCTGGCTGCAGCCTGTGAATACACCGCCAGTAGAGGCCGCAGAATACACACAAACATTCTGATCTTGTTCACAGTGTCCCGAACTCTGCCTTGGAAAACGAACACTTTTTTTAGCGCAAACTACAAGGGACTCTTCTGAAGAGTGAATTTCATTTCTTCATTCGTGAATTTCACGAATGAACCCTATTTACCTTTTGCTAGCAGGAGACGATTGTTGATGAAGTATAAGGAGATGAAGTATAAGGAGATGAAGTATAAGGAGATCTGTTAGCATGGTTTTTTAGGCAAATAGGGCCGTTCAACCATGAATAGCTGTTTGTCAAACAGCTCGACGATCTTTCATTATCTCCTCTGTTAAGGCATATGTTGGCGCATACGTTGCTGCCGTGGATGTGCGTGGGCTGGACAAGGTACGAATGTTGTTCTGACTGCGGAGCTGGCGGAGTACACTATGCGTTCACTTCTCTCCTCATTTACACCAAGTCGCTTTCCATGCCTGTCTAATGCCCATGTAATTATAATAGGATATCCTGCAATGGTTGACGAGTCGAAATGCAGGGGCCGGGTGAAGTCCAAGACCCACGTCGATAGCATGCATTGGCTGCACCTGTTGCACTGCCGCTGCAATATGGCGGCCTGCGTCTGTTCATGCAAAGCAATACATCGGAATGGTACACGCCAGATTTCATCTTGGACCTGGTGCACGAGCTTTTTGCGCCAGGCGGCATCGACCTGGATCCGTGTTTTTGTGCTGCTGCAAACACGCGGGTCCGGCCACTTCCTTTAACGATGAGGCGACGGATGGACTGGCAGAGGGCAATGCATGACGATGAAATGTGATTCTCAACTTGCTTTTGGTGTACGGAAAGGACACACAGCCTCCAAGGGCTACTTTTTGCGAGATGTGTGTGGGAGTATCAGGCGGGGAATATGAAGCAGGCCGTGGTGCTATTGAAGGCAGGTATAGGCTACAGCTGGTTCAACGATGTGCTGAACTGGCCGGTGTGCAATCTCCAGGAGCGCCTTTCGTTTGTCCGGCAGGTGGGCACTAGTGGGGAGCCCGTGGTGCTAGTCCCTCATCCAACGGCTACACCTCCCGGTCCGCTCTTCGACTGGTCCCATGTTTTGCTCGCTGATGGAGGACCCTGAGGTTTCTGCGCTGCTTGAGGAATACGCTGATGTCGTCCGTGAGATCCCGGGTATTCCTCCAGTTCGTCCTGTGGATCACACAATTATGTTGGTGCATGACACCCAACCCGTCGCATGCCCTATGTACCGGCTTAGCCCTCTTGAGCTTGATGAGGTCAAACGGCAGGTTACTGAGCTGCTCGCTAAAGGCATGATTCGTCCGAGTACGTCTCCCTTCTCTGCTCCGATTTTGTTTGTGGGTAAGAAGGACGGTTCTCTACGCATGTGTATAGATTACCGTGGATTGAATTCCATGACCACTAAGAACTGGTACCCTCTTCCGCGTGTAGACGATTTGCTTGATAAGCTTCGCAGATCTGCTTACTTTAGCTCTACAGATCTGCAGCAGGGATATAATCAGATTCGCATTGCTGAGTCTGATATTCCTAAGACCGCTTTTGGCACTCCATTCGGTCATTTTAAGTACACGGTTTTGAGCTTCGGCCTTGTTAATGCCCCTGCTAACTTTCAAGCGTGGTTGTTGAGGCCGTACATCGATAAGTTTGTCGTGTGCTGCCTGGATGACATCCTCGTCTATCCTAAGACGAAGGAAGAGCACCTCCAACATCTTCGTTTGGTGCTCGACGTTTTGCGGCGGGAACAGCTTTACGCCAAGCAGTCCAAGTGCCACTGGGCGAAGTCCAAAGTTGAGTATCTGGGCCATGTGGTCTCTGTGCGCATGGACCCTTAAGAAGACTGCTGCGGTGCGTGACTGGCCTGTCCCGACGTCATTGCTTGAACTGCGAAAGTTCCTAGGGCTTACCAATCACTTTTGCAAGTTCATTGCCAATTACTCGTCCCTTGCCGCACTGTTGATGGGCCTTACATGTAATGGTCTGGTGGCGCCTTTGTGTATATGAAGGTTCCGGGTTCGATTCCTGGTCAGTCCCCCGACATTGTTCGGGAGGTCTAGGTTTACTAACGCTACTGAGGTGTGGAGATGAGGTCTAGTTGATGGACTAAGTTTCGCATGCTGAGATGGTGGCGGTGGCTGATCTGTCTCTACGGATGTTGGGTGACTGGATGAGGAGGGGTCTAGTTGGCAGGACCCAAACCGCTGTCGGTCGTACGATGTAACCAACTTTCAATATATATATATAGTCCATGGCCTCCCGGCTTTGACGGACCCCCCGCAGTCGT